ACACACACTCACGATACAGACAAGGGACTCTCTAATACGGGTGGCATTTAAGCAGAGATTCCACTTGGATCTCCATAGCAGGGGTTGTACAGCGGGGGGCTGTGGTCACCACCCACCCACTGACATACACACACACAGTCTCTGGAGAAATGTCTGCAAGAGGGGCAAGTCTAATTTTAGTTTCATGCACTAAGCCTGCAGCTGCCCACCTCTCACACTCGCAGCCTCTTAAACACGCTCACAAAGACAGACATGACTGCACAAGCTTCTTAACTTCCTCCTGTGACACACAGTCAGACAGAAGCAGACTTTTTTTTTCCTTCTCAAGTCTGTTATTCTCCCTTTCTTTCCACCTGTTAATGATTGACAGACAAGACAGAAAGGCAAGCTAGACCTAATGGTTTAATGTCTGCTACAGAGACACTTATAAACCCTGTAGAGTGAGTCTGTAAGACATGAATACAATGAAACAAGATTTAAAGGTTCTTGACAGGAATTTTATATTTTTGTGTTAAATAGTTCAGTTCAGCTATAAGACCAGTCTATAAAATTTGTTTTGGATACAAGTGAAAAGTTTAGAATTTAAAGGTTTATTCTACTTCTTCGTCAATGGTTTAACTGAATAGGCTGACCTCAGATCAGAAGTGAGAAACCTGTTGTTTTCGCAGAGGTTTCCTGGAGTGTCTGATCAACCCTCTACAAGAACAGATGGAGGAGTGGAAAAGAGGAGTCAATACTTTGGACAAGGACCACGCTAAAGGTATTTCAGATGAATAACAATACACTGGCCCAGAAATCCGTTTACCAACAACGTATATCTCAATCATTTACAAGCAATTAAAAGTTTCTTTATTTTGTCCTTTTTGTCAGAGTATAAAAGAGCTCGCCAAGAAATTAAGAAGAAATCTTCGGACACTCTGAAACTTCAGAAGAAAGCAAAGAAAGGTAAAAAAAAAAAAAAAAAACCTGTTTCAGGTGAGACAACAAAAAAAACAGTTCAGTTAATCTGTTGATGATGGAAACAAATCGTGTTCTAACTTCCAAACTAGCTAGGTGTAAAGGTTAGGGTTAAAGGGGTTTTATAAATTTGCGGCATTGCTTGCTAAACCAAAGAAAGACATCAATCACATGCCTGTCAGACAATCAGAATGTGGGGAACACACTACGAGACAAGCAAATTCATTATACATAGTACTCCGATTTTTCAAGTGAAGGAAGAAAAGGCTCAGCTTCTACAGCTTCAGTTGCTTTTCCCATAGATGCTATGTTTCTGTCATGAGCCGGACATAAAAAAGATGTGGTTTTCATTGACGTCTTTGAGAATTGTAATCACCTTTTTCCTGGATGCCAAAATTAGACATCTCTGGTCTGCTTACATCTGAAATGAAAACATGCAGTTCATTAGCTGCATTGCATCAACTTTATTTTTGTTAAAAGTGTTTTATTTTGATACAATACACTACTGTACTGGATTAAAGTTTTGTGTTTCCAAGAAGTCAACAAGCAGGACTAAAGGAAAATTCAGGTCAATAGGAAAATGGGACAATGTCTAAATTGTGTGTATGATATTTTTATTAGACTGCTCTGTGTGTGTGTGCGTGTGCGTGTGTGTGTGTGCGCATGTGTGTGTGTGCGTGCGTGTGTGTGTGTGTGAGAAGTTTATCCTCACTGATTAGACATGTGCAGATCTATGAAGGATAAACATTACCTTACTTGGTAAACACTCTGGTGAGAGTACTGGGGCTGTTTTTCTGCAGTCCTCTTGGCTCAGGCTTTACATATGCATTCACCCAGAGAAAAAATACCATTGACAGAAAAAGGAATTAGATTAATATCCTCAATGTTTTTTGGGTGCTGACGTTGTCAAGTTTGATTCAGTGAATGTCAAACGGTCCTCATGCTGATGTTCAGGCAAAAGTACAAGAAACACATGCTTCTTCTTATTCTTACAATGCTGTAGATTTAATGTCGGTACATAACTTATATTGTACATTGTGTTTATTACTAATACTGTTACACAAGGTCATTCCTCTACAGTAGCCTGCATGACTTTGATTATCATTAAACACTGTTGGGATGAGTGCATGACAGACCATACAGTTTGTAAACACTCTTTTAAAAACAAAGTCTGCTGATGTTTGGAATTTTCTGTCAAATTAATGTGACAATCAAACTTACTTCTAATTAATTATTATAATTTTGACTTTCTGAAAGATTTTACTTGAACTAAGGCATTTCTTTCTTTTTTATGTTCTTGTATTCACTTGATTTTAGACAGGAAACACATGATAATTATTTTGTATAAAAAATTATTTTGGCTTCACTTTTCTTCGAGTATTATCCAAACACACAAACCTGCAACTGATGAATTAGTGTTTAGCACTGGCACTATTTCAGTTGACTTGAATCTTTTTCCTCTCCCTGTCCCCATGTGGTTCTGATACAATCCTTCGCCTTATGCTGCACTGCAGCTGATAATCTAGGTAAGTCAGTCTGTGGAACAGACACACTGTCTAGGGTGCTGCTGACGCTGCATTGTTTAACCAATCATCTTAGTTTCATTATGAAAAAGCAATGAAAGATATTGATTCTTATGAAAAAATAAATATTTTCATGCTCCAGTTTCTTCAACAGCTGTAGCCTCTTCTACCTCAGCTCGTAGCTCTGGATTAGTGGCCCCATTTTTATATGCCCCCGAAGTAATGTGACGTAAAGTGCTCTCAAAAAGGAAATTGAACAGGAAAACAGGAGCTGACGCTTCATAAGGGTAACACAGTTGAGGGCTGAAATAGAAGAAGATAAAAACATGCTGCTTTTGAAGAAGGAAGAGAGGTAAGGAGGTAAAGTGGAGGCCTCAGTAGACTTGAGATATAATCGGGCACTAACTGGTCCAGTGGCTGGCTCAAGTACTCTTGTAAGAGTAGTACATGCTTGCATGCTTTTGTTCCTTTGCTTTGTTCACTCGCATAAACATACTTTCTCCATTTTCCTCAAGCTAGCTGTCAAAGCAATCAAAAGAAGTTTTACAGGACTAAAACTTTGACTTTGACTACAACCACACTGCAGAATTGTAAACAAAAACAATAACAACAAAAGCACATGATTCAAAAACTATTTTAAATGTAATTATTACTTACTTTCATTTAATTTAGCAGCTAGTAAAGCTTAGGTGCACCTGGATCATCCAAAGTCACATCTCAGTTTCACAGAATACATGCAAACTTTTAAATCAAATTTAGGAATAAGCCACTAGTCTTAGTTACACCACTTAAATAAAGAGCCCTCCTTTTATGCCCTGAAATAACACCCCATCTGTCAGCTGGTGTTGGTGAGTCTGTGATGTTTGATACGTGTCTTGTGAGGGTGTTTTTCTGACCTCAGACCCTGGCCTCACTAAGAAACGGCCTGTGACTGCATCCTAATGTAATCATTGGTCATGTGTAAGCTGGAGCACTTAATCTCATTTGTGTGTGCACATGTGTCCACATGTGTGCAGACTGGGTTATTTCAACAACACACCACCCGTCCACCATATACATCTTGGCTCAGTCGCTGGATTTCTGGGACATTAGTCTGGTGAAAACAAGGATATAGAATATCAGTAAGATTTCTTAATCTTATTAGAAAGCTCACACACACAGTGTAGCTTTGCTGCTCCAGCTGCTGTGTTGATGAGCAGCTTAGCTTATTATTAGTGGTCAATATACATTTATGTGTGTTATGATATTTGATGATATTTTATTATGATATTTATGATATAGCCATATTTTGGACACTGCTGTGCTAGACATACACACCAGTAAATCTACAATATAACATTGTTGTAGGTGTGAAGCCTTTGGACTGTAATATAATACATCATCCAGTGGGGAAAAAAACAATGTCACAAGACCTAATTGTCTTTAATTGGAGACGAAAAAGAGTTGAATAATATGTTAGTGTGGATTTGTTCACAATTGCAGTCAGTGACCACTGAGCTGCAGTAAACCTCAATGTTTGTCTGCGGTGGGAGAGAAAGAGGAAGTAGCAATCAGGGCCTTGTCATTCACGTAGTTGCACAAGTTACGGCACAGAGTTCGGGAATGTGGACAAATCAAGGAGCAACCCACAGCTCAGACACAGTTGTAACGTAACAGAGGCTCAAGTTGAGCACTAACAACCCCCTTTGCTCACCACAAGTTGACTGTTACTCGCCGGCATTGTCTTGACACATGTGTGCCTGGGTGTGTGTGTATGTGAACTGTCTTTTCCATCCGTGGCTTTTACATTGACACTTGTGTCTGTCTCAATCTGATTGAGTGAAGCATATGGCTTTTGGTTGAATATGAAAACATATTTTTCATTCCATATTTGGTCAGAAAGTACTAAGTAAGTATTAACGCATTGTGTACATTTCCACACTGGCAACTTTTTAATGTAATTAAATGAGTAAGGGGATAAAGTTGCTTCTCGATGGGTCAGCCTTTAACAGAAGTAGATGTAGACTAGAAGTGGTGCCGATTGTTATTGTGTTCAGCACGACTCTCATGAGCACTACCAAAACGGCAACAAAGAAAATATTTGGCTTTCCATCTGTCTGAACAAAGTTCCTCAACTTACAGCGGTGTCTTTCCAAAACCACTTTGGTTATGTCGAGAATACCGACTGCCAATGCTTGAACTAGCAGGAGAAACCAGAATGCAGTATGCTCCATCATTTCACACCGTGCCAAGGAGACACCACAGCATCGCTGGCACCGGAGCTTGAAAAGTGGTTTTTCAACATTGAGCCCAACTAAAGTCTGAAGTTTAAAAATGTTATTTATTCATCTTGAAACAGATTTAAAGAAAAAAATGGATATGATAAAATGTGACATATTTCACTTTGTTGCAGTAATTCATTTCTATTTCACTCATGTTGTGCAGTAAAATTATGTCAGCAGATAATTTCTGTGGCAACAGGATGATAAAAGACACATTTTGCTTGGAGCTAATCAATGACAAGTTTGGTCCTGTATAAGCAACTAGACCAATGGGTAAAGCTTGTATAGGCAGCTAGTGCACATTAAACCTTGTACAGTGTAATGACATTCCTGTCTGCTCAACAAGCTGCCTTTAGATCTAAATGAGACTGAAAATATATACTGCAATTTGGACTTTCCAGTCTGGTCTCCACAGTCCATCAACTCTGTCGTGGTCTCTGCAGTGTAGTAAAGTAGGAACTGCAATAAACATACACAACTCAAATTCCACAGAGTCCAACATTACAGGCACTAAACCAAGCTTGGTAAATGGATTCTCTTTTAGCCCGTTTATCTTATTTTGTCAACAACCAGTGAGTAGAAGTGTAGTGTTAGTATTTTTCAACAGTCAGAGTTAAAACTGCATATTTTAGTCCCTTGTAAATCTAAATTCCGGATATCTTTACATAAAATAAGGATAGATTTTGGTATCGGTAAAAACACTTCCTCAGATTGGAGATGTAACAGCACTGTTGTCTCACTTTGTTTAAAAAGATTGTCTTAGAAGAACTCGAACCACCTAAATGACATAGACCCACCATTAACATTCACATTGTACTTGGGTGATTAGAAAATATGTCATTTCTCATTAGGATGAGCTATTGTGATGTTGGGCATCATGCAGAGTTTCCATCTGATCTGCTTTTTCCAGTCGTATTTGTGTGCCCGCTGAACAGCATTGTTAAATGTCATTTTTATTGTGGTCTAATGAACTGTTAGAGAGAGATGAAGCAGTGGAAACAGAGCTTCCCACATGTATAATGTATAGACTGCACTGACATATCAGGAAGGGAAAGAGCTGGTGGTTTTTCCTTGCTATAAGATGGAGATTCTTTCGTTCTACATTTGTGGTGAAATGATTTGCGTGTGTAACTTTATTGGTGTTTCTTTACTACTGGTTTGCATGATATAGGGGCCTCACGGCAAACTTTCAACAAAAGACACCAGTTTGTTATCTTTACCCAGACGCAAGAGCAGACAGATAGACCGCAGAGTTGTTCGCTGTCGGTTTAACCTTCATGTACCAAAGTCAAGACTGTGTGTGTTTGGGTGCAAGTGTAGTTTGAGTGGTAAGATAATGGCTCGGAGGCCCAACTGTGTGTCAATTTGGGCAGTCGCCAGCCTTCCTGCCTCCAGAGAGAACTCGAGAGGGCTTGATTTGGCTGCAGGGTATCCTCACTTAACACACACACACACACACACACACACACACACACACACACACACACACACAC